ACACACACACACACACACACACACACACACAAACAAACTCTCCTGTGCATGTGTATCTGGAATATACAGGGCTGCATGATTTGGAAAAATCTTAATTTTTTTTAATTTTTTTTTATCATTTTAAAAAAATGTAATTTCATTTGTAGGCCTGCACAATTTTTATGTGAACATATGAGAGTATGATTATATAATAATAATAACAACAATATTGATATTTTTTGCTAAAAGGATAGTTCACATAAAAAAGAAAATGATCATTTACTCGTCCTCGGGTTATTCCAAACCTGTATGAGTTTCTTTTTTCTGTTGAACACCAAAGATGATATTTTGAAGAATATGGGGAACCAAACAGTTGATGGTTCCTATTGACTTTCATAGTATGAAAAAAAACTATGGAAGTCAAAGGGAATCATCAACTTTTTTTCTTTTTTTCAAAACATCTTCTTTTGTGTTCAGCAGAAGAAACTTATACAGGGTTGAAACAACTCGAGGGTGAGTGAATGATGACAGGATTTTCATTTTTGGGTGAACTATCCCTTTAAATTAAAATGTTAAAGGGGTCATCGGATGCCCATTTTCCACAAGTTGGTATGATTCTTTAGGGTCTTCATGAAAAGTCTATAACATACTTTGGTTAAAATTTCTCAATAGTAGTGTAAAACAACCCCTTTTTTCCTTGTCAAAAAACAGCTCTGTTCACAGCGAGCCGTTTCGGTGCATGTCCCTTTAAATGCTAATGAGCTCTGCTGACCCCGCCCCTCTCTTCCGTTAAAGTCAACATTCTTATTCATGCAGTAATAACTGCTCAAAAACGATTTAAAATACATTTGTAAATGACTTATTAATCAGTAACAAACACCTTTATAAACCCTCTACAAAGCAACCGTTGCAAATCATTTCAACTTTGTCAGTACGTCGTAAATAGAACACTTTGAGCTGAGCATGTTTTGCTGAAGTGTTTTTCTTTAATTGCTAACGTGATCTTTTTACACCACAGACTGAACAGAATGAAGCACTGCTTGGTGATTAGTTGAGCTAAATTGGTTTTATCTAATTGTGTTCTTAAATGTAACAGCTGACAGATATTCAGCCGAATTCATTACATACCTTTCTATCAAAGTTATCTGACATCAAGATGATAACTCTGAGTTCTTGTCATATTTTATTACCATTTTCTCAACTATAGTGAATAATAGGGCTGGGTTTTGACACAAATTTCACAATTCAATTCAATTCTCATTCACAAGCTTACGATTCGATTAGATTTAATATCGATTATTTTGGATATATATCAGGTAACCTACAGTACATGCCAAATTTTCTCAAGGAAAAAAAATCTCAACTAATGCTGTGAAATATACATGAGAGTCAGTTGGTACTACATTACTATAATATTGAAGGTTAAAACTGACTGATTTGTTAAAATTACACTTAATGAAGTTTTAAAAAAAATTATAAAGTTACAATTACATAATATCTCTACTTCAATTTGTTATTTTGAAATATAAACATAATGGTGGCTGTCATAAAAACTTGATGGATTTATTCAAACATAAATTAAACATTGAAGAACAGTAAAATCACTCTCACACTTACTCACACTCACACGCTCACACTCTCACACTTATACACACTCACATGCTCACTCTCACTCTCATACTCACACACACACACACGCTCTCACACACACACGCTCACACATTCACGCTCACACTCTCACACGCTCGCACTCTCTCACACACGCACACACTCACTCACACGCTCACACTCTCAGACGCACACGCTCACACACGCTCACACTCTCACACTCACACACACGCTCACACACACACACACACACTCTCATTCACACGCTCACACACGCTCACTCTCACACACGCTCACACTCTCACACTCACACACACACTCACACACAC